AAGCCAGTCCTGGGTGGTTGATTAGTTGTTAGTGGATAACTCCTGGCTGGTGCTGAATGTGCTAAATCCAGAAGGGAAGCCAGTCCTAGGTGGTTGATCCTTGAAGAGATGTAGAGGATGGTCCAAATTTAAACAATATGTCACTTCTGTCCAGGTCGGAATATAGTTTATTCCGTTGAATGCACTGATTTTTCACAAGTGTTGAACCAATCCCATCCTCGTCGCCAAATTTTGTTGGATTCCGTCGAATGAATACGTTACACAGATTTATTACTGCATGTATTGTGACAACTCTTGGCAAAAGGTTACAAATATTCGGTTATTATCCTGTCGAGATTCAAATATTAACTAACTTAAAATTCGTCGAGGTCTTCCTTTTTAACTATTTATAAGGGTGAGAGAAAAATGGAAGGGGAACTGACTCAGGACGTCGGAAAATCCAAGGGTGAGGAAAGTTTGGGAGTTCAGGAATGGACTCTGGGGAAAGGCCCAAAGTAATCAACGGAGTGTGGAAGGTTTATGATTTTATTAGCGGGATAGATTGTAAGAATTTCCTGGTTAAGTGTCGATTGGGGTGAGGCCCAGGGTTGTGAGAAAAAAAGGGGAATTGGCCCACGAATGGTTGGAGGAGATTGGGGTTTTACCCATGCAAATCCTTAAATAATATTATAACTAGATATTTAATAATTGTTTAACGAATCAAATTAGGAGTATACAACAATAGGTTAGTAGACCAAATTTTGGAATGCAATCCCTTTGCGAGTACAAAGACTTTGGATACCTCCCATAAACGTAACAAATTTTACAAAACAAAATTTCCATATGTCAATCCTATTGCAATTAAACTCACAAATAATGCGGAGAATGAGAAACCAAAATTTTTCCATTACATCCCTATCGATCAAACATTAAAAAAAACATTATGTAGTGAATATTTGCGGGAAAACTTTATTTTCAATCAAGAAGAAAAAAATGACGATGTCCTAAGAGATTTTTCAGATGGTTTGGTATTCCGTCAAAATCAATTTTTCCAAGATAATCCCAATGCATTAAAACTGATATTGTATCAGGATAGTGTTGAAATCGTGAATCCCCTCGGTGCTGCAAAAACCAAACATAAAATTCTTGCTGTATATATGAGTATTGGTAATTTACCGGATTATTTACGATCCCGTATTAATTCCATACAACTTGTAGCTCTTTGCAAAGAAAAGGAATTTAATCATGAAAAAGTATACGGCAGAATCGTGGAAGATCTGGAGAAAATTGAAGTTGAAGGAATTGAGTTAACGCCTGGACAATTTATCAAAGGAAGTCTTGTCTTCATTGCCGGAGATAATCTCGGAAGTCATTCTTTGGGAGGCCTAACGGAAAATTTTAGCAAAGCTCAGTACATGTGTCGTTACTGCTTCATATCCAGGAAAGATTTTCATGCCGACGTAGAAGCAGCTGCCGAAAGCTATGAAAAGAGAACTCCGGAAATTCATAGAAATATAATAGTACAACTGAAAGCTTATGAACAGCAATCCGGCAACAATGAGACTCTAATTGATACGAAAGGAATTAAATTTGATTCGGCTTTTAACCGCTTGAAGTACTATCATGTTGCCAATCCAGGATTACCTCCGTGTCTTGGACATGACCTATTTGAATGCTTAATTGCTTTTGATGTGAAATTGTTCATAGATAAACTAATTCGAAAGAACAAATGGTTCTCCTATAATTTACTCAATTCAAGGATCCGATCATTCCGATATTCGACGGAAGATCAGAGAGATAAACCCAACACTATTCAACAACAATCAAAAAAAATTACAGGTGGTGCCTGGCAGCTTTGGACATTTTTAAGATTATTACCATTACTTATTGCAGATAAAATTCACGATCCTAATAACGAAAGTTGGAAAGCAATAATCTTATTAACTGAAATTATCGAGATCATCATTGCCCCAGCAATTCACACGTCTTGTCTCCCCTATTTGAAATCTTTAATCAGCGATTATAATCATTTGCGGGAGAAAATTCCCATTCCCCTTCGTCCGAAGCATCATTTTTTACAACATTATCCGTACCTCATTTTACAATTTGGACCATTGATGAAAGTCTGGACCCTTCGATTCGAAAGCAAGCATAGATTTTTCAAGAGAGCTATCGCTATGATTAAAAATTTTATAAATGTCACTAAATTGTTGAGTCACAAACATGAATTGTATCAAAGTTATATTCGAATGGGCGGAGATCTCAAATGTATTGTAGATGCTAAAACAATGAGCAATTTTTGTAGAGAGCACTACAGCGTAGCAATACAAGAAGTTATCAATAATGTACGTGTGCCTGAAACATGTGAAGAATGTAGCTCATTGACAATCAAAGGGATTTGTTATCAAAAAGGTGATGCATTATTCATGTCGTATGAAGCATATCAATATAATGTTGAAGTGGGCAGAATAATCATTCTCCTTTACGATGACCCCACTGAGAATGTATTTGCAGTTGTAGAGATTTTGGAGACTACTTTTATACGGTCTTTGCGAGTGTACCAACTAGGATCATTCCAGCGATATCAATGTATAAATCTGAGATTTCTACCGAGTTATGAAAAACTTCATGTATACACTACTGGATCTGCTATTTATGTCAAGCCGAATTATGGCTTAGTTGAGAACGGACTGTAAATTTCATGTAAAATAATCGTTAATTTGTTAATGAGCAGGAAAAGGAAATTAAGGAACAAAAAACCACAATTGCATGATAGACGGACCAACTCAGATGGTGACGAAGATGATATGGTTTGTCCACCAAAATTAAAAAAATATGATGAGTATGGCTGTGCTGAGGGCAAGTTTGATCCAGAGTTACCGCCTGATGAGACGCTGGAATCATTGGAAAGCAAACGTCTGGAACTGGTCGCATATTATAAGGATACCGTCGATGCCAAGGATGAAAAAGTACGAATGTTATTGAATGGGACATATGTGATTCAACGTAGATGCATTCTTGGGTGTTCAACTATTGATGACATATTCTTTTCAAAATGGCCCTATTTACAAAATGCTTCTTCACTATTCCGCCATGCTGAGGAATTGATGGGTATCATTGATGTCCAAGAGAAGTGGAAAACAGCGTTGCATAAGTATGCTGAGCCAATAAAAAAGTTCGTCGAAGCTGAAGAGATCATGAGTAATCACAAGAAAAAAGGAAAAGTTGCAGATGCCGATATGTTTGTGAAAAATATCCTCCAGGCCGCTCAAGTCGAAGCCACAATTGTCACGAGAAGTAATATACCTCTCGTCGCGACAATTTTTCCACTCATCATTCACCATTTTGGAGAAATTCAGGATGCCTTATATGTGATCGTTGATGTGAGTCTCACGAGAATATTTCTATTGCTTTAAAACCCAGGCATTTACCACTAATAAAGAATTCTATCTTTATAGGAAACTTTGACAAGAGCTGAGATCTTAACAAAAGTTCAATTTCCATCACCAACGCTTATTGTACAAGGTACCGATTTATTTTCAAACGCGTAAAGTGACAGTTGAATTAATCAATACTAGCCCAATGGAAGATACGGATCCCGAAATATTCTTAAATGATTATTTTTCAATTCTAGGAGGATCGTTATGCAGTGAAAATGCATCATATTCAGTGTGTTTGGATAAAACCAGCATCATTCCTGTCGATGGCGTCTACAATGGAATTTTGTTGACGTTTTTGGCTTACTATATATTTCGTATTCAATATCCGGAAGCTCTAGCTCGAACACTGGAGCTGATACAGAGGTAAATGTCGCATCCATTAAAAATAATTGGCAGTATAGTTTAGGCGTATTGGCATTTCCACACTTTCTTTTATGATTTTACATTTGGGTTTAGAGAGCTTAAGTAAAATAGAAGCAAAAATGCGTAGAGGCAATGAAAAAAATTGAGTGGTAAATAAACCAAAAAATCGATTGATTATTCTGATGCTCAATATAGGCAAAAATCAAACGTAATTTGCCACTTATCGTGATAGGTTGCGTTACGCTCTTTTCCGGCACTTTTACTCGGATATACTGTAGTAGTTCTATGGAATTATAATATTGGTCTGTTTGTGGAATTTTTCAGGTACTTCTTGCTAATCAATCCAGCTCAGGGTTCCAAGAAAGGCGGAAAAAAAAGACAATGCATGTCTTTCGATCCAAAGGTGGTCAAATTCATGGGAGGAGTGGAAAGGTATCGAGGATAATCAATGCCAACTGTACATTATAAACCCATATTCACATATTTTTAAGTTAAAATTACCTTGTAAGAAAAATAAATGTTTGCATTACCGTATAATAAACATGTATGTATCAATTTCACAGTACCCACCTATTCCTCAAATATACCTGAAGTATCGAAAACTGTAATGGAAAATAACAGAACTCACGTATTAGAAATATTTATCACCGGTGATTCAAAATTACATTACGCAAGCATTTAGAAATTTCACCATACGCATTTTAGATTTTCAACATGCTTGTATCGCATAAGTTTATCACATGTGTTTTTGGTAACCAGTACGCTTGTATTGAAAAAATTCAAAAGTATGTTTAAAAAATTAAAATACAGTGATGAAATGAATTGACAGGACAGTATTTAGAAAATATAATATTAGTTTTCTGATTTTACTTGACGTTTGCATTGTAATATAACGAAACAGATTTGATATCCCACAGTACTGTAAAGTGCGACCGTTCACATCACAGTATTGAAAATGTGCAGTATGGTGTTGCTACAGTGCTGCCATCACATGTGTTGTGATTCTTGATCGGAAATTTTTTACAGTGTGTCAAACGATCAATAAGATATAGCAATGGGTGAAACATGCAAAGAGTACAGCCTGCAGTGGTCTGTTGCAATAACTTTATACACAATTTATTCTGAATAAAAAATTGTTTACATAATATCTACTATATTTGCATGTAACACACATCTAAGTATCACACATCTAACACACACATCTAACTGTTATTTCGAGCGGTTATCGATGTTGAAAATGTTATAAGTAAGGGCAATTTTACCCATGACCCTCCAGCAACAGATATTCGAAGACATCCCAATCATGATTGATCTCACTTTCAACAGTCCCATTCGCGTCCTCTGGTTTTGAAAAAAAGAAAGGTAAGGATTTAAAGGGTTAAGAAGTAAATAAATGGAGTATATTATCGATGTACATAAGAATCTTACGTGGCATCGAGAGTATTTTCTTTTCCTGGCGTTTTTGCTCAGAGCTAGATATTGCAGAATGTTGTCTTCTCGCTTTACGTTTTTTCTTGACTGAAATGGAGATAGGATGTATTAGATATATTATTATTATTATTATTATTATTATTATTATTATTATTATTATTATTATTCTCAGAATGAGGCGGGCCACATCGTACGTTTTTTATTGCATTTGATCTACCTCCATACTCCTCATTTTCATCGGCCAGCTCCAGGAAATCTGAATTCTGTAGTTCAGAACGCTTGCGTGGGAAGCATTTCCCGTGCTCTTCATCGATTTTTGCTTGAATTTTTGGAGGTAGACATTCTCTTAAAAAATCATAAACAGCCTTCTTTGTGATGTTACTGAAAATTTATGATGATTATTATTGTTAGTGAGATTCTAAAGCACACATACATCTTTACTAATAATCACAAGGCTGTATTGTAGTCAGGAATTTTTTTGTTTTTTTTTGCATTATGGTTCTTCCCATAAAAAATAGGAATGTCATTAATCCATCACATATGAAAACAGTTATCGATACTCCCGCCTCGACCGCGTTTTATAATTTTTTGCAATAAAAATTTCACCTGAGGACAACCGATCCAGTTTTCACCTGAGCAAGGAGTTTCTCCTGCACTTTCATGATACACATGTCTCGATTGTACAATTCCTTCTCCTTCTTTATTTTGGAAATGGGTAGATTATTGTTCAATCTCTGCAACTTGATTGATTCATTTTCGATGACTTCTTGTAAGTTACCTGCAATTCAAAAAGTACTATATACAATACTGAGATGATGCGAAATATTCAGGATCTCTCCCAACAACGGAATTTCAGCAATTAGAATTTATATTATTCGAATGAACCTTTATTCTTTCAAGTGAAGAAGAGAATCAATTTTAAATGGACATGACTTGATTTAATACGTGTATATTTTTTTTGGTAGATTCTTATTAAAATCGCTAATGAACAATTCGTTTCTATGCAACTCAAAGAGAAAACTATGAAAGACCATATTAGTTAAACAGATTTCCTTTTTTAATCAAAAAAATGTTGAAATAAGTCCAAAAATGCTCAATACAGTTCATTGATTCGGAAATGAATGATGAACGGCTTTTAATGAGTCAAGAATTGTAAAGTATATACGTATGAATGGGTATAAAAACGGTGACACGAGGGCCACCGACTCGAGGCGTATAATGGCGGTTATATGCTTCAGAATCATTATTTGTCCTATAATAGCACTCCCGTACACAGAGGTCCACTCAGTATCCCACAACCATTGTCTCCTTAGATATGCGATAAAACGCAGAAGCTCTGGAAAGTTTGTTGTATGCGACTGCGTTACTTCTTCAAGAACATCTATCCCAACCGTCAAAAGTTCAGGCGGAAGTAATCCGAGAGATCGACTGAGAAATTTTGCTTCACGGGGAGCTTGAAGCTTTACAAGTTTCAAGATATCTGCCCAGTATGCAGATATCGCCTGTAAGTTAATTTTAATTTGACAACTGATGAAAAAGTGATTCAAACTACAAGACGGATTTAAGCTTTAACATACTTGCACTAGGTGAAATAGGCAACCTTGTAATTTAGCTCTCGGGAACAATGCTTTACATGCTTTGCGTGGTGCTCTTTCAAAATCTGAGACAATCAGCTCAACGTTCTTCAAATCCGGAGCTAATTGTAGAACACGCTGTAGGATTGCTTCATATAGTGGTGCTCTTGCACCTCGAGTGTAGGCGTAAACTGCGGCGAAAGCCTAGAAACAATTAATTATTGAATATGGTCATTGGCCAAAAGCAGAATTGGGCTCACTCTTCGTCCCAACGAACGAGAGAAGAGAAAGTTGAAGGAGAAAGATCGAGGGGGGACCCTTGACGGTTAGATTTGATATCGAGGGAAATCCTCTATACTATTTATTGCAACAGTGTAAACAAAGAGGCACTTTTCACACGGTCATTTGTCCATCGGAGAAGGCTCTACTCTCTCATGTGTCCATCAGAGACGGACAGATTACTAAAACAAAACCATAACAAAAAAAGGGTCTTCATACCTGGTTGTCCTTTCTGAAGCTGATAATCCACATCTGCGTTCCTTTCGGCTTCTGTGGAATTGCCTGAAACGTAAAAATCAGAATTATAAAAATTGTTCGTTATGCTCATGTATATTGCATCGCAAAATCGGAAAATTCTCCAAGGCCACTTGAGGAACAATTCAAGTGTTTTCGATTGCTGTACAATGATTTACAATAAATTTTATTTTTGGAATTAACACTTTTAATGGTGCTGTTAGCCAATTTTTCATTATGATTGATCGAGCAAGGTGTCTTGCAGTTGGTTCTGATTTACAATCATCGAGAAATCCTAAACTTTTATAACGATGGTTATGAAAGATTTGCACCAGATTTCAGTGTTCGAGAGTCACTGAAAGTCCATAGTCCGTATGTTTTCGCGTTTCTCTCGGCCCATAGAGTGAAGATTTCTCTAATTCCTGGGAGACTATTTACGATGGATTTCGGGGGAGACTGAAAGTCTATTCGTTTGTCACATTTCTCTCCTTTTCGATGGATCACTGCCAATGTCTTGACTCCCGTGTAACATATAACGGATTCTATACTTATTCGCAAAAATCTCATTGTTTAAGAAATGATGTCATAACAATGAAAACAACAACAACAACAATAGAACTTTTATATATCCATAGAACGTTACTAAAACTAGAGATAATCATTCCTCGCAGAGTTGCACTTTGTGATGAAAAAAGTACTAGATTTTTGTAATAAAATGCAATTTCTTACAAATATTTATTTTGAAAATAGATAAAATGCTCTGATTCGGCCGTACCATACGTTAAGAATGAATTATTATTGAATAGTTTTGAATTATTACCTTCATTGTTCCATCAAACTCAATGATTTTCGCAGAGTTAAGCTCTGATATCGTGGTATCAGATGCAAACATCAACGCATAGCCTTCACCCCCGTCTGTAGGTTGGACAGCCCCCTTATAATTTTTTCCTACAATGTCTTTCAGTTCATTGTTATTGGTAAGAATTTGCGCCAAATCTTCCAACGATTCAGGCTGTTTCGGTCGACCTATCTCTTGTCTCCTACGTTGTATGTAGCTGTTAGCAGCTAGTCCTGATATTTGAGATGCCACAGAGACTCCATGCCTGAAAATAAAAAAATATAGCACTTACTTTTAAAAACAATTAGTAATTTTTAATACAGCAATACGTGTTCCTTGCAAATGTTGTTTCAGTTGTTCAAGTTATATGTTGTTCATTTGAAAATGAAAAAATTTCACCAATTGAGTGTCAGGAATATAACAAAAGGAATTGGCCAATACTACAGAAAAAATCTTGAACTTACGATTTGGAGATTCTATTGGTGATTTCTGTAGGAGGATTATGTGTACTGCAAGCTTGCTCCTTCAAGTCCTGTTTGTAAGCATGGAGTCTCAGCTCATCCTTACCCTTTTCATGCATGTGAGTTTTTCCATTTGTCTCAATTTTCCCATTCCAATGGACAGAGATCCTGACGGGACATCGGCTAATTCTTCCGTAGTGAGCACATCGAAGCGACTTCTTTGTGGATCCTTCATATACTAAATGGAATGTATGATTCTCATAGAGATAGCGACGTCTGCCGTTTGTCCCGGTGATTTCTACCAAATTTTCCTCATCCTGTTTAATTTTAAGGAAAATACTGAGATGAAATGTTAACCTATTTCTGTGGACATTGGAAATTTTCTTCATTCCATTGTTTTACCACTCACCATGGCTAATTCAACTCCTCGTTTATATCATAATCGATTGTTTTTTTCAGCACTCTAAAAAATCGTTGTACAACAATTTAACACTAACTACACACAATGCTACACAAAACTACTTCAATACACTATATCGTACATAACGGTTTTTTAGGTGTCTGTTGACATTTTGAAGACGTAAGTGAGCATAGGCTGCAATAGATCGCTGAGGGCGTGGCTTTAATAACTGACCGTCAGTTCTGGTAATTTGCTTGCGGTAGACGACGACAATGAGGGGAGTTTCAGCTGGAAATCCCACTCTCTCGAAACCGGCGTGTGATTGGCTTACTGGAGAACGTATCAGATATAGGATAGAATTTACGAGGTTGCAATGATGTTACACGCGATAATTTTGAATATAACAACGAAGTTTAATTATCATGAAAGAGGCGTACAATGTTTCTATAATATGTATGGCAAATTGACCTTTACACATACTACTACTATATGCTATTATTATATTTCGTTTTTTGTAACTTTTTTTTGTTTTTCCTATTTTTCCTTCAAGTTTTTATACACAGTACATGTAAGGATTGCTCTCCATTGTTTAAAAGATGACAGTTCATCAGTTAATAAAAAAATGAATAGTTATATCTGATTTTCTTTGTATAAAAAAAGTTGGGATTTTAAATAGTAATAGTAGTTATTTAAATGATAATTATCGGATGAAATATTCACAGTCTATGGTGATTGATCGTCAGCAGTGGATGGCTGATGAATGAATATCTGTCGTGGACAGTCTGTTGGTTAATAAATCCATCAACCATGATGTTCAACTGCTGTTCCGTGCAGTCGTTTCTTATGTTAAGTCCTTCGACTGCGGCATAAAAAATACTGTTTGGGGAAGGGGTGCTATATAGCATGAGCTCCTTGAGAACCCTCGATTTGCGAAGTAACCCTTCTACATTGACAGACTCCATGTTGGGGCAGCGAGTCAGTATTAGAGTCTCCAAATTTATAAGGAGGTCGAGCGATCCTCCTTTAATCTCCCGAAGATTACTGAGGGTTAGGCATTTAAGTTCTCTTAGATGTGATAATTTTGGAAGTATTCCATCGCTAATGTGACGGTTGTCTGTAAAGAAGAGAACAAATTTAGATTTCTATTTTGACCATTTTTTCGCATGCAAATATCTCTTCGATTGAAAATTTTTGTTTATGGTCCCTACCTTTAAGGGTCAAACGCTCAATTCGAGGACAGGCCTCGACCAAATTCCCGATAAAAGTGTCAGTGCACCACCGTTGAGGGCTATTCGTGCTGTTAATGTAGAGACTTCTCAAGTTTTTCAGATTCAAAATGTCATTGAGTCCCTCTTCAGATAGCTCGATTGCACTGTGAGCTCTAGAAATCGCAACAATCTCGAGAGTTGTCAAAGTTGCAATACTCTGGAGCAAGTCATCATTGATGACATTTATCGAGCACTCCTCGAGGTTCACCGATTCCAACATTTTCGTTGGCAAACTGTTGAGCATGTGTCCCTCACTAAAATCTTCAGTGAAAATTCGCAGTCTGCGGAGGGATGCGCCATTCAATCTCTCGAACCAGGTGTTTGTTCCCTTCATATATATTTCCACTGATAACTGATGTAAACTCTGATTGACCATCCCTAAATCCCGCAATCTCCTGTCCTGCACCGGAGTGTGAATCTTCACCTTGATCTCCTCCAATTGTTGACATTTTTTTGATGCCTCTGAAATGACTGTTGTCCTTTTGTGATCTCGCAAATCACTCAACTTGATCAGCCATGGACCGCAATGACGTTTGGCTCCACCCAGCTAATAGCGCGAGACTGTATTCAGCTGGATACACCCGAAGGGCATTCTTTTCCGACAAAAAATACTGAAGTAATTGGGTGAAGTGGGGGTAGGTTTGCAAACTACGGTAGGCCAACTGAACTACATTTATTATAATGATTATAATTGAATTTTCAATTATAATTAGGGATAATCATAAGTTCATGTGATTCTTCATTTTTTTTATGCTTATGTGATTCTTCATGAATTCTGTCGAAGGGGCAAAGTATAATAGACATCATTGAATATTTATCATAAATAATTATTTGTTAGGTTTGAGTTATTACAAAAAATCCCTTTTGTCGAAAATATGTAACATGTAAACAAAAATACATCATCGGCTGATGCAAAAAATATCGGTCAACACCGCAACGCGCTATTGGGCTGTCTCAATACTGCGGTGTCATGTTACCCCTCCGAGAAAGGAATGTAAACAAACGAGGATCAGTAATATTGAGAATTCTTGCCCTTGATTTACCCTTGGCATAGAGCGAAACGGAAAGCGTATACCTCTCTATTCATTAGAAAATTTATTTTTATTGTATTTCGCGTGCCTCGTCCTAGTGCTCGCTGCTCACCCCGCTTTTTGCATACTCGCCCCGCCTTCCAGTATATGGAAACCACAGGACTCATCGCATCTCTTCCTTCACCAGTAACGAGTTTTCACCTGAGCGGACAAGTGATCAACATACGGACTGTTCTGTTTTATTTAAGTTTCTATTATTTTGTTCTGTTGATACTTATGTTGTTATTCTGATGTTGGATTAAATAGAAAATGGTAAGTACGTCGACACTTTAATTTTTTACTCTTATGATTTTCCAACTTTAATATTGAATTGTCTTTAATTATATCTGTAACATGAAACATTCCGCATGAAATTTACAAATGATGTTGTTGGAGAAGAACTCTTGGCTTGCGTCAATCGGTAGTTTAAGGAATATTTCTACACGTTTTTGTAAGCAATTGTTCCGCCGAAACTCGCGTTTAAATAAAATTTTCGCTTCTGGTTTACATTTTGATGTGTAGTTTCAAAACACCTATAGTGTGAAGTTTATGCTCATTTATATACGCGGGAAATTTTTTAATAGAAAACCCTAAAGAATTCTACAGGTATTTCTATAGACTTTCTATAACACTTCTATTGAATTTTCTATACTTTTTTTGCCGTTTCTTTGGACATGTTCGATAGGAAATTCTCTTAAAAAAAAGTTTATAGAATTTGGTTGTCGATACAATTTCATCGGCTCCACTTTTCTAAGTTTTTTCATTCGAGTTTTTTGAAGAGGAAAAAATTGAAAAATAAAAATAAAAACTTGGAAAATTTGAGTCGAAAAATTCTATAGAGAAATGAAATTCTATTGACTTTTTTTTCCTATTGGCATTTTTCTATGCAATATTCCGCATCGAACATGTCAATAGAAACGGCAAAATACATATAGAAAAGCCAATAGAAGTTCGATAGAAATTCCTATAGAATTCTTTAGGATTTTCTATATTAAAAATTTTCGTAC